GCTATCACGGTGCATGCCTCGATATGCTTCAATCTCGTTTCCAGAGATCGAGGCTGCACCTGGAGAATAGTACCCGGGGCGGATAAAGGTTGCAACCTTTATTCGCCCTGATAGGACCATATAATCATCACGTCGTCACATGATAAAAAAACTGGGTTTTCTGCTATAGACAGCATAGCAGGCGGGTTAAGTTTTGAGCTTACGAATCAAAGCATTCTTGCCTTGATTTAAAGAAAATAGCCTACTAAAAAAAAAGAAACTCATGTATTTATCGCATGACCGAACAAAGATCGGCCCAGATGTGTTAAAAATTTCAAAGTCCAGGCCACTATGATTTTGCATGACGCCCTCGTGTTTACTCCTGTTCTCGGATATGACGTCACTTCCGTTATTGCTTTGACCTCCAGAATATTTTCTCACGAAAACGGTGATTGTCAGTTGATTCTGCTTTCTTTACGGTATCGGTTGGCATTTCGCTTTTAAAACAGATCTGATTTCGCTATTTTTGAGTATTTTGATTTACGTCATTGCAAAAGGGAAAATAAGGCCGCTCTCATGACTAGCGTGGATTCGCGTACGGGTCTGTTTCCAAAGAAGGGGTATTTGCCAACTGGAACAGACGAAAACATGTCAAATGGCGACATTGAACCGCAAGTGAGAACTCCGCCGAGAAAACCGAAGCCTTCTTATGAAAATATGGAAGATCGGACTTTTACAGACGATCCTATGGCCAACCATCAATATGAGGAACCCGTTGATATTCGTAGCAGAAATAGAGAGAGACCGATCCCTGGATCCAGCACGACAGGAGACAATCGCAGTAGGCCCAAGAGATCATCAAAGGGCGAAAATGACTTTGCAGATGGGTATCATCGAAGCGTGCTTCCAAATATCTTCAAGATTGTGATTTTTGCCTCATTTTTCTTGGCTTTGGCGGCTTTTCTTCTGGTTGTCTTTATTATGGCTGGGGTGATTACCACTTCAGAGTGTAATGGGTGTCAGAAAAATCTAGTGTCGGGACAAGACCCATCAGATTCGTCTATTGTTGCTAAGCCAGTTGAGGAGCGGTTGCGGGAAGAAATTAAAAAACTCAAATCAAACTTCAGCAAATTAGGCGCAGAGGTGAAAAGGAGGGATGAATCTATATCGAAGCTTCTAAAGGACGATTTCAAGCAAGCTGCCGAGATAGCCGAACTGGAGAGAAAAGCAAGCTATCGGGTGTTCGTCTTCAACGATACGACATTTAACATCAGTAGCTTTCTCGGGCCACAAATTGGCATCAAGGGCGAGAATGGACCTGACGGAATGACAGGAAAGACAGGCCCGGGAAATATGACTTCGTGTCGCTACATCAGCGAAGCGAGTGCCCCGTATACACCTGCTCCGTCGGGCAATGGTCAAAATGTGATCGTAACGGAGCCAATGGGAAAAAGAATAATCGGAGTCACTTGTTCCACGCGCGGAGCGTCTGAGTACAATTTAAAAAGCGTAGTGAACGCCGTTAATAATATGCGGCAGTACGAATGTGAATGCCGAGGAAAATCGAGCGTGTTTCCAGTTGGCGCTGGACAAGGTCTATGTATCATGCATTACTGGATCTGTGATTCGTTTTATTAGATTGAACTGACCAACGCAGCTGTCCGTTTCCCTCAACTGATTATTTATAACTATATAAATGCTGATTTACAATTTATCGCATTCGGAAATATGAAAAGATTTGGTGGTCGATTGATAATGAGTAAAATAAGCGAAAATTCTTCATTTTCGCTTACATAATTACCACAGTTATTAATCATAAAATTAGAACGTGGCTATTTGTTCATTTCCAATTTAGGATGATAAAAACCGGCTTCCGGGACAGGCACTGCTGTAAACATGAGAAAGCAGTGTATTCTTATTAGAAATACCCAGCCCGTCTTTATTCATAAACGAGAGAATCTGCAGAGTCGTGTACTCGTATGACGGCTGGCACGAATTTTATCCGCACAGGAAAGACTTCACATATTTAAGAGTGACCGTAGAGTGATCGGACACGTACTACTCATTCCAAAATTCACCCCATGATCGCGAAAATCGTACATACTGAAAACTTTTCTTTTAACGAAACATTTGACAACAAACAGAAGGAGAAATACTATAGTCCTATGCTAACTGTACATAGTAAACATCAAAAGAGTAAAAGACTGGTTTTAGAGCCGGAATATATCAGGTACGAGATGTTCATGAGTCCAGTCCCTTGTCCAAATTTCCACCAAGTGGTGCCGGCTTACAGTGCCTGAACCGGTTCTTTTCATGTCAAATTATTTTTATGTGTAAAAAGCGCCAAGGACAGAAACAGTAATGATTTCTGGCCAATATTTATTGCCATTTCGGTGTTGTTAAAAATGTGTTAATGCTAGCTAGTCAACAACACCCGTCTTGCCATAGTTGTCAAACTTGAAACAATGCCAGTGTTTTGTAATAAAGAACTGTATTTTACTCGAATTGGTACGTTAAACTGAGTTACTTGTGAATTAATTTGATCAATTGTAATGCTAGACTACTCATATCCTCTCTATTTTCTTAACTGGAAATCTGGAAGGTCTGGGAGAGGGGGTGGAGAGGGGGCTGGGTCCCCCGTTCTTTGCCTTGTCGTTCGCGTGCTCAACGAATGAAAATATCGACGTCGCCAACGCGATTTCCTTCAGCCGTTTCTCTTGAACTTCGATCTTTTTGTTCGTCTGTTTAAACAAAGTTATTCACACTCAAGAGAGGATACAATAAGTTTTATCCACACGATTTAGCGTGAGTAACAACGCTAGGAAGAATAAAGCACCAGACTGAGATCATACGAAGTAGTACTGGGCGTAAATACAAAACCCTTCTTTTTAAAAAAATGATTCTCATGACATGTGACTGGTTATTCCGATCCCAACTGTTATGTCATAGTGCTCAAAATAATAAAAAGTAAACAGTATCATTGACGAAAAGGTTTCTTTTCTATCTATAATGGATTACATTGACCTACGCTCATGTGATTTCACGGTGATTTTGCTGAGTAATAGTAAATTAAGGTAAATTCCATGTTTGTTTTTCCTTCCATAAATCAGCATGTTTAATGATCGGACTATTTTTCACTGGTTTGAGGTACGTCTTTTAACCCAGCATCGGTCAGCATTGCCCCCGCGTCCTGGCTTCTAAATACCTTCCGATTATGCAGTTTCTCATGCGAATTCCGACATTTCTGGCCATCAACAAGTTCAGCCGCCCACAATCAAACTTTAACAAACAGTGAAAAAAATGAAAAACAAGAAGAAGAGGCTTGCGATCAGCTGAATATGTGAGGAGGATGTCAACCCAAGTTTCATAAGTAACCAGAGGCAAGAATTACATGCTTCTGAAAGAAAAAGAATCTGCTTATTAAGTCTAAGACAATGTGAAGCAGATCTTTTATTTAGTGTTCAATTACAAACTGGCCACCCAATTTCGTTCTTAAAGCTAAACGTTAAACTGACTATATTGTTTCCGTGATGGTCTCTACCTTTCGTAACAAGCCTTTGCCTTTCCGATAATCCTGATAGTAACTTTACTTTTGTCCCGGGGGGG